CCCGCCTATACTTCCTGATTTGCTAAAACCAATTCCAGTGACAAATCTTTACAGTGTACAAGAGCATTATTTGACAGCACATATTCATTCATTATGGAACAAGCTTGCAACATGAGCAGACTGTGGCTTTTAGAACCCTGAGGGAGGGAGGGAGCTTGGAAATCTTGCACATTTCAGAAATTTTCTGAATCTTGTAAACATCTCTTATTCCCCAGACTAAATCCCAGAGATGCAGTTTTGGAAGGTTATCTGTAGACAGATTTTTCTTTAGACCACCAGCTCACAAAAAAAAAGGTTAATGAGTCTTATTATTAATTATGAAAGGCCTGCCAATAGCTTAGGCTTGTTTCTAATTAGATCAAATTAAGTCATTTATTAAATTAAATTAAGTCATTTCTATTCATCTATATGCTGCCATGTGGCTAATGAATTTTACCTTTCCTCCTGCCTGCATTGCTTCCTCTGCCTCCAGCTGATGACTCCACCTTTCTTCTTCCCCAAAACCTCTCTGTCCTCAGAAGTTCTGCCTAATCTCTTCCTTTCTAGCTATTGACCATTAAGCTCTTCATTAAACCAATTGTAGTGACACATCTTCACACAGTGCAAAGGCATATTCTGCAGTAATTATCACCCAGGATGCTGTGAGATTTTTCAGTGGTATGTCACTCATTCTGTGGAAAATAGTCTTTCACCTAATTTTCTGTAAGTAACCCAAATAAACTTAATAGTTTATTACTCTAAACTTAGTTGGAATAATTTCTCTGTTCTGTCATTGATGCTTTATCTAGCAGAATACACTCTTGTTCTCTTTCCATGAAACAAGCACAGAGCACTGGGCCAGCTCACCTCAAAACTGGAGGCTGAGTTTTAGTGTCTTCACTGTCCACCCTCCTTCTAGCATTCATCATTAGTTTTTTTTTTTTTTTTCAAATCAGTTCTTGGATTATGATACACCAGAAGTAGACCACAAATCCTAAAGTTTGAGGAACTAATGATTCTGGGTATCACCAAGAAAATGCTCTTTATTCAATTTGAGTGTCTGCTGTTCCTGTGAAGCACAGGAAAAGAAGAGGGCAGGAAAGTTCTGTGTAAGAGAAAGTAGGTCATGATTGCTTATTAAGGCATATCTGGGAATTAAAGAGTTAAGTACTTACAAAATATCTAAGAAAACTGTACTAAGGAGTAGGTTATAGGAGTCATTTGAATGGAATCCTGCATGAGAGGCAAGAGAGTGCTAGGTGTCACGTAGAGATGGTTGTGATGGTTATGCAAATTTTATAGCTGGGATCTGACTGAGACTCAGTAGATGGAATATTGTTAAGAAGCATCAAGGTGAAGGGGTCTGACTAAACAGACCTACAGGAATCTTGCTGTTGGCCGTGTGAGGAGACAAAACCTAGGGCACAGGTGGAGGAAAGGCTCTTGATCAGTTAGAGAAGATTGTCAGATAGTCAGGTTGAAGGTTCCTGCAGAACTGATTTACTAGCATTGTTGGCTTAGAGAGGATACTACAAAGACTTGATAGACTGGCTTAGCGCCGAATATAAAGGTCTAAATGAAGTTGATCCAATAATAATTTCACAGACTTTCTATATAAACAGGTATCCCAATGCCATAGAGCAACAACAATAACTTATTCTCTCTGGCTTATGCATCCATAACTACTTCTCCTACATTACAAATTCTGTAGGTCAAATTGAAATTTTGTCCACATTTGGTCATGTAGGAAAGACAGATGTTGTGTCTTCTTCCCTACTTCGTTAGGAAACATGTTTATGAGATAATATACAGGAAAAATATTGGTGTCTCTATATATCACTTACTATTCTATTGCTGTAATGAAACACCATGACCAAGGGAATTTATAGAAAGAATGGTCTCTTTTGGGTTTCTGATTCCAGTAAATTAGGGGTCTTAAAAGGGGGGACAGCAGGTGGCGGACATGACAGACAAGTGAAACAGTAGCTGAGAGCTCACATCTTGAGACACAAACAACAGGGAGCTCACTAAAAACAAGTGCATGGCTTTGGATACTCAAAGTCCACACTTGTAACATATTTCCCCCAGTAATACCAGATATCCTAAATCTTGTACTACAGAGGGAGGCTGCTTGTTCTTCCCGGCTGCCTGGCTAGCTGACACCCAAAATAATCACCCAGAAACCATATTAATGGTTTCTGCTTGGCCCCTTAGCTCTATCTTCTTATTGGCTAATTCTCATATTAATTTAACCCATTTCTATTATCGCCACATGGCAGTGGCTTACCAGCAAAGATTCTAACCAGCGTCTGTCTCAGGCAGAGGATCCATGACTCCTTTCTCCCAGCATTCAGTTCTGTCTTGCCCACCTACATTAAGTTCTGTCCTATCCACAGGCCAAGGCAGTTTATTTATTCATTAACCAAGACAGAAGGACCTCCCACATGGAAATCTACCCAAACTGTGTCTCCACCTGTGGATCAAATGTGTAGATGTGCAAGAATATGGGGACTGCTCATTCAAACCAGTACACTATGTAATAAATATTATGTATCCTCTAAAATAAGGAAGTTAGACACATGATATTGGGACCTAATTTATGCAATTTAAGAAAAATTACTTTTTATTCATGTATTTTAAATTCAGGGGAGAGTGTGTATGTGGAGGTCAACAAAAGGCATACCAAAGTCAGTTTTCTCTTTCCACTATTGAGTGCCTTAAATTCAGGTCACTGGGCTTTCAACACCATGTGTTTATCTTCCATGATTTATCTTTCAGGCCCATTATTTATCTTAACCAATGGCCTTTTAAAGAGCTAGTACCACTGGGCCGCATACCAACAATAGTTAAAATTAGAACTTTCATGCAATATATGTGTCCCTCAAGGTCACATGGTGTTTCTGGGTGGTACGCAAATGAATCTCAATCAGAGAAATCTGTAAATTATGATATGTACAAAAATATGTAAATTATGGTTCCATTTTGATCAAATAAGAAAAAATATTTATTAAAATATTATTGTAGAAATGACAAGATGCTTATTTTACCTGAAAAAGGATTTCTATAACAAATATATGTTTTATGTTTTTGAGAAAATAATGATTTGGAACATTTCTGAACCTTGGTTTATTTGTTGGAAATAGATTCATCTCTCATAAAATACATCCTGATCATAGTTTCCCCTTCCTCCACTCCTCCCAGCTTCCCCTACTTCATCTCTCCTCAGACCCACTCACCTTCCATTTTAATTCAGAAAAGGGCAAGCCTCTAAGAGATGACAGCCAAACAGGACAAAGCAAGATACAGCAAGACAAGGCAAAAATCCTCATTTTGAGGCTGAACAGGGAAACCCAAAGAGTCCACAAAACAGGCAAAAGAGTCAGAGACACACCTGCTCCCACTCCTAGGAGTCCTACAAAAGTACCAATCTAAACACCATAGCACATATTCCGAGGACTCCATACAAACCCATGCAGGCCCTGTGCTTGCTGCTTCAAGTCCCTGGGAGCCATGTAACACCTGCTTGGTTGATTCAGTGGGTCATGTTCTCCTGGTGACATCTGTTTTGAAGTCCTGGGTTGCAGTAATTAAGTACCCGTGCTTTCTTCTACCTAAAACATTCTTACATCCTCTTTGTCTCATGTTTTAACATTGAGGTTCATGAAGTGTGTAAATGGAGGTAGCAAATTCATTTCCTTGTCACCCAGTCCCAAGTACTCACACAGAAATTTATATTAATTATATTAACTGCAAACTGTTTGGCCTATTAGCTCAAGCTATTGTTAACTAGCTATTAAAACTTAAATTAACCCATTTTTTACTAACCTATGTATCACTGCATGACTGTGGTTTATAGGTAATATTTGGCATCTTTTTCCTTTGGCAGCTACATGGGGTCTCCCTAACTCCACATTCTTCCTCTCTCTATCTCTTCCTACCTGATTCTATTCTGCCTGAGCATTGGTCAAATCAGTTTCTTTATTTAACAATGGTAATGAAACATATTCACAGAGGCACTTCTGCCCTCAGAAGTGTCTTAACTTAAATCTCAAGAAAGACACTGGGATTCCATAAAGCCACATCCAGAGGGTGCAATTGGAGAAATTTCCATATTTCTCATTTATCCTTTTTCACTAATTAATGCAGTCTGTTAACAAATGATTCTCATATCATGAATTGGTTGGTAAAGATGTGAGAGGTCAAAGTATCTCTGCTCAAGGAGACTAGGCAAGATGAGCAACCAGTGGAGGCTTCACAGAAGACCTCATCCCATCCTTTCATCCATTGTCCCACCCAAGGCTTTGATCTTGACCATCTTGGTTTTAAGACAGCCTTCCTCTAACTATTCTCTTTATTTAAAATCTCTTATTTAATTTTGATTTATGTGTGTGTGCATTTTGCCTTCACTATTTGTGTGTCCAGTGCTCAAAGAGAGAAGAAGAGAGTATTGGATTCCTTGGAACTAGAGTTAAAGATTGTTGGGGCCACAGGAGGATCCTGGAAGCTGAACTTGGGTCTCCTATAAGACCAGCAAATACTCAACTACAGAGTTATCGCTCTAGTCCCTCTCCTAAGAGTTTTTTGTGAGACCCGTCTGGATTCAACCCATATGCTGAGGAAGCATCCTAGGATCTGTATTCCTACCAACAGACATTAGACTTGAAAATACTGACTCATACAACTCCAGGGTGTGTTTCTTATTCAAAGTTAAAAGCATGGTTATGTTGAAAATCCACTCAAAATTGTCTGAAAACACGTGCTTCTTAAAAACCCACGAGCAAAATAGAGGGGTGCTAAGTGATCCTAGGACTCAAGGCTCATTCCTTAGCATCCTCTACAAAAGACCATTGCCATCTGCCCCATAGCTGACCATGAAAACACATCACTCCATCCTCCAGGACAGGGTGGAATCAAATTTCTGAAAACATCTGGACTGATAGAGCCTGGGGCCCAAGGCTGTCATCTGCACAGGCAGTCATAAAGACATTAGGATTGTTGGGTGGGGCTTCATGGCCAGAGATTGGGGATTTAAAGACAGAACAGTGTGCAGCTGGGATGCATTCTGGATGCCCAGGAACCACTGAGGAGCTGAGTCAGTGAAGTGCACAAGTACAACATTGGACATCTCAGGTGAGTCCTGGCTCTGCCAAAGTAGACTGGGAACTGGAGGAGAGCCCTGGAGAGACACCCTGGAGAATGGGGCAGACCCATCATGAATGAGGAAATCTTACACTTAGGAGTCTTGATGAGAAGCAGGGGAGGATGAGTGGAGGATCAAACGAGTCAACCAGGCTCCACAGGCATCCAGCTTTGTGCTGGATCCCTGTGAGTACAAGTCTAGCCTGGTCACAGGGAGTATCATTTGTCCCTTGAACAATGGCAGCCTAGTATTTCCCATTCTGATAGATTACCTTTTCCCATATTAAAACAAGTTAAAACTTTGGTCTCTTCTGGCCTGTACAGACAGAACACCAAGCAGCATGGCTCTAACCAGGCATCTTCTTGGGAAGGTAAACTGAAGAATGCAAAGTTTGGCTAAGAGTGGTCTCCTCTTTATTCCACGCATACTAGTGGCTCTGCCTTCCAGTGATATGTCCTTGTGAACCCCTTCCTCTGTGAGGCAGTAGGCAGAGACTCAGGGGGCACAGAGACAACTGTGTGTCAGAGGAAGAAGTAGATGTTGTCATTCCTAGGTTCTCAAGAAAGGAGAGGTTAGACTTATTATTCAGGAGGGAGGGTCCAAGACATAGGGTAACTCCTGGAATGCAATAAGCTGAAAGAAGATGTTCAGTGTCCCTCAGCTCTTGAAGTTACCTTACTCTGTACAAATCCTAGGTCTTCTCTGCCTTGTGTCCTTAGTTTCAGTTTTAACTTGGGAATCATGGAGTATATGAACTTGCTGTTTCCAGGCCTGCAGCTATGAACAGCTACTAAAGTTGGTGGTCTAACAAATACCTCCATATGTTTTCTTCAACAAATCGCATCTTTATACTTTTACATATTGCTTAGATAAATACTTGGAAGAGTTCAAACAGTCTTGATCCACCATTGGATCTCAGTAAAGAAGAAAACGTTTTAGTAACTTTGAAATACCTAGACTGGGGATTTCTCCCTTTTTCCTCCAGGCACTTGAGACATGAATCCTGCTGTCTTCCTAGTCATCCTGTGCTTGGCAGTGGCCTCAGCTGCTGAATCCCCTGATGTCACTCTGGAGGTCAAAGATCAAGAGGCGACGATAACAAATGAGAAGCCGGTTGGTAACATGGGAACTGTCCAAGGGGATCTCAGGAGTACTAGTTCTTTTCTTAGATGTACACAGACATAAAAGAGGTCATGGGGTCAACTGTCACCAAAGGACTCCTTAAAATAGCTATGGACATGAGGTGACCTGCATTGCTGAAATGCGGGGTATACAGAATGGCTCCTGAGATCCCTCTCCAGGGCTCATCTCTGTCTGCCACAGCAGGTCCACTGGCTCAACATGTGTATGTAGTTAATATGAAGAAAATAATGTCACTTACATTACCCTAGAAAGAAGAAGAATACAGAAGAATGATATGGGACCAGTTTATGAAGAAGATTGAAGTCTACAATAAGAAAAAAGGCCTGGAGAACGAGGACATCAGCCTAGAAATGAGTGTGTTTGATGACCTGGTGAGTGTGGCCTGGGTGGCTTAGCTCTGTGCTCTTCCTTCACGTTCTTACAATGTGTTGGTTTTCAATGTTTTATTTGCTTTTTCCATGAAGACTGATAGCGAATTCACAAAATTGATGAATGAAGTTTTATTGCCAATGTTTGATGGGGAGGAGAAGACTCAAACACAGCCAGTTGGTGATGCCGTTAAGTTTGAATATTCGCCAGCGAGTGGTGATGTCCAGGATCAGGTATGATGGTGTCACATTCACACCCTGAACTGCCCATGGGAAGCCAAGAAGGAACTGGAGTCCTCACTCATGTCAGCTGTGGAACAACACTAAGTGTTCTGCCCTATGGATTGTGACTAGAGGTGATAACTGCTTGTAGGTGACAACCTTCTCCTGCTCAGGGTAGATGTTCTGCTTCATGAGCTTTAAACACGGCTGGTGCCCTTGAAGGGCGGGTGCTCCCGGGGGAGGAACTGTGCTGCAATCTTTCCAATTCATGCAATGTGTGCTTTGCTTCCAGCCACAGTAACATGGATGGCAACGTAAAGCAGCCAAGGAGTGAAGCGACAACTGTGCCTTTGTCTCAGAGCCTCCTGCCCCAAGATGTGAGCTGCCTGATGGTGAGGAAGAAGATCTGACGTGGGGGAAGGGAGCAGAGCAGAAGGGACCTCAACATCACAGGATCCAACACTCAAATCCCTTCAGAGCCACACTGTGGTGTGAACTCCAGGGCATGATCACACTAGAATAAAAAACCTTACAAACACGTTAACCCATGTTCTCAGCTCCTTTACATTAATGATTCTCAGAATTCTTAGATGTAACTTTTGAAAAGATCAAGTAAAACTTTGTCTTTAAAATAAAGCTTTATTTAAAATACAGTGTTCTGCTTTCTTTCTATTTTGTGGAAGTGAGTTTTTATGTGGTTAGCACGTAATTCCGCTGGAAGGCAGAGCTGCCTGTGAAATGGTAGTCTGGAGGAATTGTGAGTGAGTCTTGTCATTATGGAGTCAGCATAACTCCATCCTTGATTCATCTTTTTTTCTGGGATTTTAGGTGCCCTCTATTGGCAATAATCTGAAAGCCTATATGAAAATTTCTGGAATTCAATTATTTTAATTCACATAAATTTGACAAGTGAAAAATTTTTTTTCGGTGCAAAGCGATTACCCTCATTCTGTTCGACTGCACTACACCTGTACTGTGAAACTCTTTTATTTAAAAAAAAAAACATTAAAAGGTGGGGCTGGAGAGATGGCTCGGTGGTTAAGAGCACTGACTGCTCTTCCAAAGGTCCTGAGTTCAATTCCCAGCAACCACATGGTAGACCACAACCATCTGTAATGAGATCTAGTGCTCTCTTCTGGCCTGCAGACATGCATGCAGGCAGAAACTGTATACTTAATAAATAAAATTTAAAAAAATATATTAAAAGGCTTTATTCATCTTCAAATTGAAGAAAAACTCCAATGACATCAATGGGTGATTGCACAATAAAATTGAAAATCTTACAACTTCTTACCATGCCGTGTCTTACATGAATATCTTTATGCACATACATAGCAAGGACAGCTACAAATGTTTTTAGTTAAAAGAAAATATGAGTGAAAATACATACATATGAAGCCTTACAGAGTAGAGTCCACTTATCAGAGCGATCCTTCCCACCAGGGTTTCAGCAAGACCTCACTTTCAAGAGCCACCGAGTCCATAGTTGCTGGCTCCCAGAAGCTGGTGGGACCTTCTCCTCATACTTAGGTTATTTTTCTTGCCCTGAACTAATTCTGTCTTTGACTGATAGAGCAAATCTCCTCTCAGTCTCTGACACATCCTATCAGGGTGAGATTGTAAAGTTTCTGTAACCGTAGGCGGAGACCTCTTGTTCGTTCCCGGCTGCCCAGACCCAAAGTAATCACACAAAAACTATATTAATTATAATTAATAAGCTTGGCCTGTTAGCTCAGGCTTCTTATTAATTAACTCTTATATCTTAAATTAGCCTATTCCTATTATTTTGTGTTTTACCATGAGGCTCATGGTTTACTGGTAAGGTTCCTGGTCACCTTTCTCCTTCCACAGCTATATGGTGTCTCCTTAACTCTGCCTACTCTCTATATTTCTGGTCAGATTTCCCACCTGGCTATATTCTACTCTGCCATAGGCCCAAAACAGCTTTTTTATTAACCAATGGTAATAAAGCATATTCCCAGCATACAGAGGGGAATCCCAAACCACCTAACTGTTCTGACTCCAAGAAATGCTACTGGTAGTAGGTTCCTGATGATCAGAAGATCACAGACCTGCTTAGTAACATCCTTGTAGACCAGTTAGTCTTGCACATTGGCAGATGTCTGGGTTGCTATTTAAAGATGGTGAAGCATCCAAGACCAGGAACATGTTTGATATGAGGGAAGATCCAGTGTCACATAGCAAGGAGATCGGAAACCCCAATCTTTCAAAGTTAAGAGATTATAGCTTCTCATATAGAAGTTATATTATATAACTCTCATAGAGAAATCATAGGAATATAAACACACACACATACATATATATGTATGTATGTATGTATAAAATTGTCGTGTAGGAACTGCTATCACCTTCAGAAGCCAATCCAACAGAAGAACTTCTTGATGTCAATGAAGAGCTTCTTCGTTTTTGGAGGGTGAAATGTCTCTGGCCTACCAGGTCTTTAGGGCATCGGGGATATATCAGGGTTATTCAGCACCTAGTCAGCCAGCTTAGGCTTTTACAATGTGAGGGGTGTTCCTGTGGCTCAGCACTAAAATGAAGTGCACTTTGGGACATTGGGACATAAACCTGAAGAATGATTTATGCCCTTCCTCTACTGATGGATGAAGGTGGTAGCAGGAAGAACAGCAGAAGGCACAGGTGAAAATGTGCAGGCAGATGTTGGATCTGACCAAAGCCCCAACAGCTCCTTACCTCTGTCCAAGCACACCTGGGCTGTTCTCATTCAGGGAGCAGGTGTGTTTTTACCACAGGGCTGCTTTTTCTTCTGGCTGTGTCTTTTCCTGTTGATAAAATCTCATCTCATAGAGTCCGTCTCCCTCAGGGTCCAGTCTCAGGGTCATGGACATTCTGAGTGGTAGATGGTGATGTACAGACCCCTGCATATTAGTGTTTGGTTGGTACCCAAACCAGTGCTGCCTTTGTGTTCTGACCACTTTCTCCTCACAGCCTGGGTCTTGCAAATTTTCTGTCTCTTATACAATGTTCCCTGTGTCATAGATGCAGGAGCTGTGATGCAGATGTATCTCTTGGGGCTGTTGGGTCTCCATTGATCTACGCAGTGTGTTCAGTATTTGCTGTAAAGAGAGGCTTCTTGACTGAGAGGTGACAGTCTGTGGGTGCAATGATAGCATTTATAATGTAGTAAGGAATTATGTTTGAAAGGTTTGTGACTTGGTTGGTGTTTCTGTGTCTGTTTTGGCAACCTGCAGAGGACCTTCCCTCAACAAAGACACTAGGAAGTTAGGGTGAAGGTAACATGTAGGACACCAGCTGGATGTCTCCATGCTCATTGAGATGTACTAGTGCCGTCCTCATCAACGGGGCACTGCTGTTGGTTTGTGGAGAACAGCACATGGTCCTGGTCAACAGTCTGGGTTGTTTGGGATTTCCATGGGACTCCTCTTGGCCAGAAATTCAGTAGGAATCAGCCTAGTCCCAGTACTGGAAGGCCATTTGGTGATGAGAAATGGCCAGCTGGGACTCTGAATCCCCTGCCTTCAAATATTTTAGGAAATTTCCACTCTATTAGGTTTTAATACTGTACCTCAAGAGCCCTTTAATTCCATCTTCTCTCTGTGTTCTCTTTGTTATATCTCCACTCTGCCTCTCCACCTCTTCCTCCTGTTTCTACTAACCCTGACTCTGTCCACCCATAAAATATATTCTATTTCCCCCTTACAGGAAGATCCATATGTCATTGCTAGTCACTTACTCTATAGCTATCCTCTCTGGATGTACAGATTGGAATTTGATTATCATTTGTTTAGTGAATTACTTTATATATAAGTGAATAAATGCCATATTTATCTTTCCATGTCTCAATTACCTCACTCAGGATGATTTTCTAATTCTATCCATTTGCCTGTAAATGTCATGGTGCCATTTATAACACAATTTCTTTATCCATTCTCCTGGAATTAAGCAACCTTTAGGTATGTGCCCAAGAGTAATGATATAGCTGAATCTAGCAGTATTTCAATTCCCAAATTTCTGAGGAGCTGTCATATTGATGTCTATAATGGCTGTACAAGTTTTCACTCCTATCACCAATGGAGAATGTTCCCCTTATTCCACATCCTCTACAAATAAAGTGAGCTATCACTTGTATTATTGATCTTACACATTCTGACAGGTGTAAGATAGAATCTCAAGGTAAATTCTATTCGCATTTCCCTGATGGTTTTGGATATTGAACATTTTTTCAAGTGTTTCTCAGCCATCTGAGCTTCCTCTATTGAGAACTCTCTTTTTAGATATGTATGCTGTTTTTAATTTGGTCATTTGGTTGTTTGATATCTGGTCCCTTATCAGATGTGGAGTTGATAAACATCTTTTCCCATTTAGTAGGTTGTTGCCTTATCTGAAAGATGGTGTCCTTTGTCTTACAGAAGTTTTTCAGGTTCGTGGGTTTCTATTTACTAATTGTTGATCTTAATACCTATGCTATTATAGTTCTCTACAGGCAACCTTCTACCGAGCGAATGAGTTCAAGGCTATTCTTTACTTTCCTTTCTTTCAGGTTCAGTGTATCTGGTTTTATGTGGATGTCTTTAATTCAGTTGAATTTTGAGCAGGTGATAGATACAGACCTTTTACATGTAGCCATCAACTTTGACCAGCACCATTTGTTAAAGATGCTGCTTTTTACCATTGTGTATTTCTAGCCTTTTTATAAAAAAAAAATGAGGTGTCCATGAGTGTGTAATTTGTGTCTGGGTCTTCAAATAAATTCCATTTATCAACAATTTTTTTTTCTTGTATGTAGGTGGAGGCTCTTTGTTCGTTTCCTGGCAGCCCAGACCAAAAGTAATCACACATAAACTATATTAGTTACAACACTGCTTAGTGATCAGATTAGGCTTTTTATTAACTAACTCTTACATCTTATTTTAATCCATTTATATTAATCCACGTATTGCCACAAGACTTGTGGTTTACCAGTAAGGTTCTTCGGTGTCTGTCCCCAGCAGCTACATGGCATCTCTTCGATTCTGTCTACTCTTTCTATATATCTCTGTTTGGATTTTCCACCTGGTTTTACTCTATTAAGCCATTGGCAGAAAGCAGCTTCTTTATTAATCAATGGCAATAAAACATACTCACATCAAACAGAGGGGAATCCCACATCACCTCCCTTTTCTGTCGAATTTTAAAAGACAGTTTTATTTTAACATGGTAAAATTACATATAGTAAGACAGCTATCAAGTAAGACTACAATTACAATATTTATATCTACTTTATCTTTTATCACAACTAAGGAATTCTATATTTATAACTATATATTTTTCAACTCCATTAAAGACCCCAGAAGGAAATAATATTACCTAAGTTAACAGGAAGTACACCGTAAGCAACTTCCAAAACTCTAGAATTGACAGAGACATCTCACTGCCTGGACAGTCACCCAAAGTTCTTCTGTAGCATTGGAGCATCCATCTTCAGCCTACAGGCCCGTAGTATCCAGCAGATTTTTCCAGGAAGCAGGAAATCTGAAAGACTGTTTCACCTCTATTGGAAGTTTGTCAATCACTTTCTTCTGTATCCTGAAAACTGTCTGGTAGACTCTTTCATGATACAGGAAACCTGACGGACTGTCTCACCTTTAGGCAAGTTCAACAATCATTTTTC